ACTGTTTTTAAAACTTCTCAGTATGTATTAAGAGCAGGGCCAGATCGACTACAAATCCATTTAAGAGGTGCTGTTCATATCAGAGGGATAAGTTCTCGTCTATGAAGTTAATGCCCAACTATGAGGCTTAACTCAGTACTCGTGTCAAACGATAAGAAGCTCCGCTATTCTTTATTATACTTTGTAATCAGTACAATTTATAATTAGGGTTTGGGAGCCCTACTCGGCAAGGCTACCATATATATGTCCTGTCAAAACGCTTGGAGGATTGTTTAGGAAATTGCGCTTCGAGTAGAATGGATAAGGTTACAAGGATCGAGTGGAATCAGTCATCCATTGGGGATATATCCATCAAAAATTGTCAAAGGACTTGTTGACGCTAATTTTTCTACTCTAGATGGACTTATGATTTTTTTGACAACTGCACTTGAACTTTAATTAGAAACTATCCACTGTGGATATTGGGAGGGATTACGAATAATGGTTAATAAATGGTTTATTGACATCCTAATCACTGAATGGAAGAGAAGACCCGCTTTTATCCAGTTACTCTCGTTCACATCAAAAAGGTATTTTCTTATCCATTGTTGGGGGGATCTTCATTTTATATGAAAGTGCATGAAGAAAAGATTAGTAGGTAGATCTCATCAGAAGAGGACGGCTGAATTTCGTACTGCAGCCGTTTGGCCGTAGTCCACAAAACCTCTGGTATCTGGTAAAAACGAGCTGAACTTTTGCCCATCATATGATGGACATCATCAGAGCTGGATCTCATTCTTGTAAGTATCATGTTAACAGTGGGGCTAAAAGATTATCTAGCTCAATCTTATCTCCTTATATAGACTCAATTAAGTAAAAGAAAATAAAAAAACCTAGATAGATATATAATGGTTTGGCTAATTATCTTTCATACTGGTCCTGCCACTTTTGCTTGAATGTATGCATGTGTGTTAATGTCTATACGCAATACCGGTCCTAAATCAGAGTGATCAAAAGGTTAATGTCAGGCTCTGGTCATCAAGGCTTAATGGCCCAAGAGAAAGCCCTGACCGAGACTGTGTAATTCCGTAAGCAAATATGGTTGAGATACTTAATCAAATTATGAAGCCACTTGCCCTTTTATCCGAAACCATCCACTACGGAAATTGGGAGGGATTAACTAATGGCTTATTGACGTCATATTCACTGAAGAAATGAAGCTCCGATTTCGTTCAGTTACCCTCATTCACATCAAAAAGGTTTTTTCTCGTCTACTTTAATGTGTAATTTTGATCTCGCTCAGGTTTTACCAGCAATAAAATCGAATCTAGGACGGCCTACGGAACGGGAAATAAGAATGCCCTGTCTATATAGCTCTTTAATTAAAAATCTTCCGAGACACGTTTGCGTTGTTCTACAACTTATTAGCACTTGCCATTTTATTTTGGGCTTGGATTTTATGCCTTTAACCACACTGACTCGGCTAGAATCCAACTGAGGGCAAGATACAAATGGTAAAGTAGGTTGAACGATATGTTATTTTCTAAGCCATGCACATTTAATAACTATGTGCTGCTTTGCTTTTTTTCAACTACTCTTCAGCCTCTTCTGATTGCCCAACCACGTGTAGCGAAGTGATGGATTCATTTACAAATGGACGGGGATTCTGGAACGGTGAGGAACCTGGCAACGATGAGGATAATCTTATTACTGTCAATTTGATGGTGACAGGTCTTGAGGACAATGCTTCAGACAGAGTACTTAATTAGACCAATCTTTTAATGTTTTGGTGATAAAAACACCCAGAACTATTAGATCTATTTGTTTATAATATTTTCACTATTATTTTTATGACAGTCCAGATTTATGGACCCATTTATTTATTTTAGATAGCAGGCCTTCCTCAACTACGGACAACTGTATTATTATAACGTATCATAATAATCAAATTTAGGTATTAGGTTCATTTTATTTTTACCACAAAACATTCTTTATTATTTTACATAATTTGCCCTCACTGCTCTATTCATAGCCTAAGTTATCGACTTGCATCTATTGTCGCAGCATGGCTTTAATAAAGGAACCTCATTACTAGTTCCCAACCAAATGCCGTGCCACCGCTCGAAAATGAATTATCCTTCTACCCAAGAACCGGTTATTCTCTAAAATATTATGCTAATATTTTACCTACCTGACATGTCTTTATCCATATTAGATTATTACTTAATGTCATTAAACGATCCTTACTGCGTTGAAACTTTCCAAACCTAAGCTCATTACACGAGATAGCTTAATGCTTCCCCATCCTACGAGCCTTGCAGGCCGTCAATCAATACACTTACCACTCAACAACTAGATGTCAGACACTACATAATTTGAGTTAGTCTGACCTCGCAATCTAATCATGCTATTAAAGGTACATTGAAGAATTTACTCTGGCGTTGTGTGCCATAGTAGCTATGATAATTTGCATCACCACAAAGTGGGTTTGGCACACCCGATGCTTTCATTTTGATTATCATACGATTATATAAATTCGTTCGTTTGCAATTTCGCAGATGCCTAATTTGTTTAAAACCTACATACAGTACGAGCGTAGTACAGCACTTATCCGCACATAACCCAACTTGGATTTTTGCTACCTTCATGAATGCATCCCGTTAACATCGATAGGTTGAATTTGAGAATCATCCCTGCTTTGTCATGCAACATACCTTGATCGACCTGGCTTTCGTAGCAGCGACAACAAAAAGATTCAGTATTACCATTATCTAATTATATATACTTATAAACAAGCACTTTGGGTTGTTGAAATTTATCGCCCAGCATTGATAGGATAAAGAAGCACTCGTTTTCCTTAATCATCTGTTCTTTTCATCTGATCACACGCTTAAATTCAGGCCATCAAGCAGGAAGCTTACGATGTTGACGAATATGCTGACATCAGTGATGCCGAAGAGCCCCCCGAATTTGGACCTTCCAGTTTGCCCTCGTTGCCTACCCGACAACTTCGGCCCAATCAGGCACTTGCCTTCCCCCCTGAGCAAGGAAGATTTGCAGATGGTCACGAGGACCACATTTTAGCGAGGAGTCTCGCCATTCTAATCAACCTAGATGGACGGAAGTCAACGCATGTTTCTTCCTCTCAGCTGAATCAGCAAAACCGACGGCTCGGCCAGGCTGCATTGTCCGCAACCTTCAGGTTCAATAAAGGGAGCATGCCATACTTTTATCCTGCAGCACACAATCGTATTGCGTCTCATGAAAATCATTTCCCGGAACCTGAAATTCCTGAGATCGGCTCAATCGTTCCGTCGTCTAATTCATCCGTCGATATCGGCGAAGACGTACTGACTCAACAGCTATGAGGATATGCTTTGTCACATACTTGAGCCTCTCCACATGAATGGACATCACCGAGTCACTAGCCCATATTCAAATTCAGTACCCATTATAGATTTAAGTATATTTAAACTTTGGAATTTCGCTGCCAAGCCATTCGCTACATGTCGCTTAAACTCTGAGAGACTAATGCGCCTCTTCGAATGCATTAAAATGCTCTTGTCTAATGTATTCCCGGATAGCAAAACTTCAATCTCCAATCACCTCATAATACCATTAGTCTTTCACTGTATTTCACCGTATGCCATAGTTA